AATCACAGACCCTCAGGTCTCAGGGCTGGAGAGGACCTTAGGGGCAGCTGATTCAACCCTCATATTAAAGATGGGGAAACTAGGGCAGTGGGTGTATCACTTGTCTAAGTTCACTCTTGAGTGAGTAGTGGAGCTAATAACAGATTTAACTGTATGTATGGAAGGGAGCTTAGCTAGATGAGGAGCCTGAGGCTCTGGAAGGGGCACCAGCTTGCCCACAGTTTGCGGGGAGGCAGACAGTCCAGGGCTCCTGCCCCTCAGCCAGGCTTGCACTTCAAGGCCCTGCCACCACCACCAGCCCCCCATAGATTATATTCCTGGTCTGGGTGATAGCCCCTCCCACGATCCTCTGTCTCTTCCCAGGTCTGGAACCACCGAGTGCTGAAGGATGAGTTTCTGGGCCAAGTGCACCTAAAGGCTGACCCGGAAGACCTCCAGCCCCTGCATACCCTCCACCTCCGGGACCGAAACAGCCGGCAGCCCAGCGACCTGCCAGGCACTGTGGCTGTGCACATCCTCAGCAGTACCTCCCTCATGGCTGTCTGACACTTGCCCACCTATCTGGCTCCAGCAGTTTCCACCACCATCTGCATGTCCCCACTGGGCCGGAGTCTAGCCTGGGAGCCAGGACACTGGGGTCCTTTTGCCACTCTTCCACTGACTTGCTGTGTGACCTTGGGAAGTCTCTGCCCCTCTCTCCACCCCAGTGTCCTGAGAGCCCCAAAGCATTCCCTTCTCGTGGAGGTGTTTCCTTGCCTGAGATTTAATATAGTCTTCCCCACCTCAACTGTCACCACTGCTAAGGGACTCTAGCCATCAAAAACATTTTGCTAAGGCCCTGCTGTCTGCCAAGGAGTGCCAAGAAGATGTCACTTGTTTACACACAAACTGCCATATCCCCAAGCCCTGTTCTTGCCCCTTGAGTCCTAGGCCCAACCCAGCCTCCCAGACCTTGTTTTCCCCATCAATACTGGGTTTTTCTCCCACCTTGAAAGGACTCAGCTCCTGCTCAGGCTGGAATTGGGAAAAATGCAGGTGACATATGTTCATTCTCTAATCCCAGTCACTCACCCATCCATTTCCTTACTCAGTAGAGATTTGCCAAATGAATAAATGACACCTTCGAGGCTGCAGGTGAAGTGGGGTCCTCCCCTGCCTCTGCCTTGGGCCTCACCTCTATCCTCAGGTCCTCTCAGAGGCAGATACCCAGGGGAGCTGCAGGTGCCTGCTCATTCTAGATCCTGATTCCATTCCCAGCCCCTGGGTTAAGGTCCCTGGAGGGGTGGTGTGAGTGGGGGTGAGGAAGGGCATCTTCCTGACTCCTCTGCCCAGTGCTACAAGGAGCATGCCTGCAGGGCCAGGGGCCTGGGGGCAGGCAGATGGAGGGGCTTTGGGGACCAGAAGGGGAAACATACCCTCAGAGTCTCTCTGCTGTAAGACCTCAGCTTTTCCTGGAAGAAGGGACTCAGGTGTGTGGCGCCACCCACTGGGCTTGGCAGGAGATAGGGAGCCCGTCACCTGACCACAGCCCCCACCAACATTCCCCCCAAATGCAGCCTAGGAAGCCACAGTGCCCTTCTTCTGCCTGGACCAAAATGTTCCTTTTAGTCCTCAATATTTTATATTCTTTTTGTTTTAAAAATCTCAATTTTAATCAGAGGTTTTAAAGGAAAATTGAAAGCTGAACCTCCATTTTTCTTCTTGGCTTCAGTTTTGCTGGTCCTCTGATGTGACTTTGATTCCTGATGTGGGAGCAGGCGTCCTTCTCACAGGAGGTCTGGAGGTGGACGCAGAGGATGTCTGTGCGTGGGCGTTTTGCAGGCTGGCAGTTGTGCTCTTGGAGAACTCTTCTTGAGTGTTGGCACTGAGACCCAACTGGGATCTCTTCTGTGCCCTTCTTGGGCTTCCAGACCAGGTGTAGCAAATGAAAAAGTGCAGTTAATTCAAGAACAGGAATTCCTGTGTCCTTCCTGGGAATTCCTTTTGGGAACCTGACTTTTCGACTCCAGATCCTGCTGTGTGGTTCAGTGTTCTGGCTGGAGGTGCTGGATTCTCTGACTTTGCCTCCTCACTCTGTGTCAGGCTTTGCTACTTGGCCTTGGCCCTAGGCCACATGAGGGGCCAGGAAACGAAGGACAAGGAGGACAAGAGCATTTTTTCTTGAAAACCGGGACTTCCCCTCAAGAACTTGGGCCTGGGGTGGGGACTCTGTGCATGACCGGGAGCAAGTCACTTAAACCTCCTGTGCCTCGATTTCCCCCTTCAACAAAGTGGGGCCAATGATTCTCGTGTGTCAGCACTCTTACTACCAAGTGCTGAGTAAGGGCAAAATAATACCCCTTTCTCTATGTATCTCTGTATGTACACACACTATATATAGTTCATGTAATCATCACTTCTTGATGTCTATTTCAAATCCAGGCTCTCAGGTAGGGGGTGGAGAAGTGAGCCAGCTTGAGCCTCAAGCTAACACATGGGACTTTGCTCAGCCATGTACCCTGGGATACAGGGGCACACCAAGACCAAGTGGCAGACCTGTGAGCTTTAGCCTTGGGGCCAGGCTGTGCCTCCCACCCCCTGACAGAACGGGTTCTACAGTGCTGCCCTTGCTTCCTGCCCCTTGAGGTAGGCCAGGCTGGCTCCTGGCTATGCAGGAATCTCTGGTCCCCAGGAGACCTTGGGGTCCAGGCAGGTAAGAGTCAGGGGAGACCGGGGAGAGCAATTGCTTTGTTCACTGTAGGCACCCACAGGGGCCTGAGAGTCCCCATTTGCAGATGGGTGGGGCCTCCAGCCCACGCCACCCAGACCTAGGCTTTCCTCTTCTCAGGACCCACCGTTGGGGGACAGGAAGCCTGTTCTATTCTCAGAATAAATCTTACCACAATTCCAAAAAGACTTTCCTGTGTCTCTCTGTCCCTCTGGGGGGAAGGGACAATGTAGGAATGCTCCACAGGCCTGGGTGACTGTCCTCTGGTCAGAGGGAAGGCCCCGCTGCCTGCCCAGTGCACCTGTGAGCTGAGATCAGGGGGATCATTCAGTCATTCCTTCATTCAGCAGATCTGGCTGGCTCTGTGCCAAGGCCTGCCCCAGGCACCAGGGACATGGGGAACCAGACCTAGCAGTCCCTGCTCTGGAACAGTCTATAAACAAGTAGGGGGAACGAAAAAATACTCTGGTCATGACAAACACCACACCATGTGCTACTACTGAAGGGGCAGGGTGGGCCTGCTGGGTTAGAGACGACCTACTCCCTGATAAGTCCCTGAAGGGCTGGGAAGACGTGATGGGCTTTAGGGGCACAGGAAGGTGTAAGGGTGCCAGAGCAGAGGCTGCTGAGGGCAGACACAGGCATCTCAGGCCAGGAAGCTGGTGTGACGGTGGGGAGAAGCAGGGTTGGGGTGATTCTGAAGGCAGAGTGGATGACTCAATGAAAAACTGGGCTTGGGGAAAGGCTTGAGTGCAGTGTGAGGGCAAAGTGAACCGAGGTGCCTCGGTTGCTTCACGGGATTGAGAGGTGGTCATTGCAAATCATGTGATCTACTTAGCATAGTGCCTGGCTCACAGTAGGGCTGAGCACAATGTAGCTGTCCTCCTGGTGTTTGGAGGCTACCTTGTCCCCCACAACCTGCCCACCTCTCCACCCTATCCCCACAGCTCACTGCACTTTGTCCCTGCTTCCAGCCATGTGCCATGGGCTCCCCTGTGCTCCCCTGGGATCTCATTTTCCCACCGTGTAGGGCTGATGCCACTGGCCCTGCCCAGCCCGGGAAGATGGAGATGGGGTCTTGAAGAGTGGCTAGTACTAGGTTTCGGCAGCAGGTGTAAATCCCAGGGACTGTGTTCCAGGACCTTCTAGACTCCTGTTAGGCCCAGCAGGCTAAGGGGCAGACAGCATCGTGGGGTCTTCCTGGGTAAGGGTCGTCGGGCCTGAGGGGACAAAGGCCCTAACAGAGGCTGCCTCCCCTCATGGTCACTTCCCAGTGGTGCTCAGCTCATCTGACGGAAGCAGCTGGGCAGTGGGGCCTGTGACCGGCAGTGGGGCCTGTGACCAGCAGGCTGCGCTGGTAAGCCATAGCACCCCTTTGGGCCCCCACCCCACCTTCTGGGCGGCTTCCCTGCAGACACACCCCAGTTATGGGGGGCTAGGGACCCAAAAGAGTCATCCCTCTGCCACCCAGAACAGCCCTGGAGAGGTGCATGATGGGGCTGCCAACAGGTGCGGGGCTGCCGAGGGTGGAAAGGAGAAAGTGCCAGATCCCCACAGGGCCTCAAGAGGTCACCATCCTTGCCAACGCTGATAACAAAGACATGTGCTCCTCTTTGTTTGGTTCCCCCACCCCTTTAGATCACAGATTTCACTTCAGTTTGTATCTGTCACAGTCACTTACGGGGTTGCTCCTAGTCAGCTGGTCTGGTAAAGTTTCTGGATGCTTACAGAATAACATGTGTCCCCCACCCTCCAAAGCCGGTTGTGGGGACAGTGTTGCAATGAGGAGCCTCAGGGGACACATATCAGAGGCAAGGGTGGGTGTGTAGGAGGGAGAAGGTGCAGAAGGCAGGGGTAGTTCAGCACTCTCCCTCCTGCCGTGCTCTGCCTGACAGTTCCCTCTCAAAGTCCCAAACAGCCAGGTTGAGGAGGAGGAAACAGAACGGGACTGGAGAAAATGAAAAGGGGCTGGAGGAGAGCAGCGGGGCTGAGACCCCCAACATATCAGCGACCAAGTCAGGATCGGGTGGGGTTTCCTGCCCAGGTGCTGAGCAGCAGGCAGTGTCCTGCAAATGACAGGGAGCACTGAAGCCAGCCTGGAGGGCCCAGGCCCAAGTCTGGTGCATTCAGCAGCAGAGCCAGAGACAGATCCCAACCACCTGCCTCCTCATCGGCAGCCAGTGCTCTGCACAGAGCCCTGGGCAGCCTCTGGACATTAGTCTCAGCCCCAGCACGGCCCGTCCCCCACGCTGATGTCACCGCACCGAGACCTTGGAGGCCCCCTCCGGCTCCGCCTCCTGGGAGAAGGCTCTGGAGTGAGGAGGGGAGGGCGGCAGTGCTGGCTGGACAGCTGCTCTGGTCAGGAAAGAGAAGGACAGAGAAGAGACACATACAGAGAGACGACAAGGAAAGGAAAGACCCAGAGGGACCCACAGCAAGCCTCAGAGCCAGAGAGAGGAAGAGGGGACGTGTATTGCAGACTGTCCTGTACCCGTGACCCCAACTTCCTGAGTGCTCCGTGCAGGTGGCAGCTGTGCCAGGCTGGCAGGTCACTGAGAGTGGGCAGCTGAGCCCCAGGTAAGGATGGGCTGCCCACTGTCCTGGCGTTGGGAGGGTTGGGATGTGGAGCCGCCATGGACTTGAGCTGCCTCTAGAACCTCTGCCCCGCAGCCACTTGCTCCTGGAACTGGGCTTCCTGCCACTCCTGAGGGCTCAGCCGCCACAGCCACTGAATGAAACTGTCCTGAGCTTGGGAAGATGGACTTGTGTCCCTTGGAGGAGGGAAGAGCCAAGGGGCATGTAATCCATCGAATCTTCTCTGAGCTGGGGCTGGGGGGAGGGGCAGAGAGGTTAGGTTAAGCAGAGAGAGAGAGAAGAGTCTGTTCTCTCTCTCTGTGTCCTTTGCTTTCTCTCTGACATTCTTTATCTCTGTTTTTAAATAAGGCGTTTCATTCCTCTATGCTCCAAATGTCCCATCTGGGAAATGAGAGTATGAAGCCCCACCAGCCAGGGTTGTAGTGGGGAAGAGGTACAATCAGGCACAGACAGAAATAGAAATACAGGCTATGCCCCCTGTGGTCAGTGAGAAAAGAAATTAACTTGAGGGTGGTCTAGTTCTCAGTTTTAGAAGTAAAATGTGTCTTGTCATTTTCACATGTGGCCCTTGGATTCCAGGCCTTCACCACTCTCCCGCATCCATTGGAGCCATGCGTCTCTAGTGAAATCACTGGCTCTGTCCCAGGCCTTGTGGCTCATGCTAGTGTAGGGTCCTGGCTCCACAGCCCGGCATCATCTTCAGACACAGTGCCCGGTGGCAGCTGCCTGCTGACCCTGTTGAATCCACGTCCCCACCAGGCACTCAGACTAGTTCAGGTCTTCAGAAGGACCGCTGTGCCCCAGAGCTCCAGGGCAGGGGTCAGGGCTCAGGTGTCAGGCAGTGTCGTGGGCAGAGGATCAAATGCCCCAGTGGCTCTGAATGGGCCCTTGTGAAAAATTGATGTGCATTCTAGGGGACAGGTTGGGAGCCAGAGAGACCTCATACCAGGGTCTGTAGTCTGGGGCTGCCTTTTAAGGTCCTTGCTGAACCAATCTCTGGGCCAGGCCCTGTGCTGAACAAGGCTAGAGACAATGCTATGGCTCAGACCCTCTCCCACCGGCCACATCCTGCCCTGGATCAACTCCCCAATGTTGGGGGCAGAGATGGGGCGGACCCTGCCCTGACAACATAATGCATGTAGACAAGATGGGATAAAGGGGAGTATAGAGGCTCTTGGCAGCCTGGGGGTAGTCAGGGAAGGCTTCTTAGAGGAAGTACTGTCTGAACTGAGCCATGAACCATAGGTGGAAATTCATTAGTAAAATTTCAGGTAGAAGAGCCAGGTATATGAAGGCCAGGAGATAGCCAGAGCTGGTGTATTTCAGGAGCAGTGAGTCACTGAGAATGTCCAAGTGTAAGGGTAGGAGAGGGAGTGAGCAGTGAGAGAAAAGGCGGAGGCATCAGCAGGGGCAGATGGCGCTGAGCCTTCGAAGCCATCCTGAGGGCAGTGGGTGCTCTTGAGAGGTTTCAGGCAGGGTGTGCCGTGAGCAGTCATGCCCAGCCCATGACCTCTCCCTTAGCCAGGCTTGTCTTTGTCACCCACACTCCTGAGGCAGTCCCTGAGCTGAGTGCTGGAGATTAAGTCCTATTTCTAAATTTGTTCTGGCCAGCTGTGTGACCCTGGGCAAGTCTTGGTCCCTCTCTGGGCCCCTTTGCCGTAGGTCTGATGAGGCCAGACTTGCTACTTTCTAGGAGAACTTTGGGAATCTCTGAATGACCAGGGCTGAGAGAAGAATTCAGCTGCTCTGGGTGGCGGAGCTAGTGACAGTGGCTGAGGCTCAGGTCATGCGGGCTGGGCAGTGGCCAGAGGGAGAGAAGCCAGGGAGGATTCCCTCGAGGGAGGAGGAGTTGGGGCTCTGGGAGGAGCCCAGGTGACCCCAGCCGGGCTCAAGACTGCCAGGGCTGGCCTGCCTGGAGGCATGACATAGTCTCTCTCCCTGCAGAACTGTGCCTGGCTGAGTGGGCAGCAGGGGCTCCTGACTTGGGACCATGGTGATTCTTCAGCAGGTCAGTGCTCCCACCTCATTGGGTGGCCTGTACTCCCCATCCCATATCCCCTCATCCACATGCTTACCCGTGGGACACCCTTCCCACAGTGTTCTCTTGGAAAATTCCTACCTAGGCTTCCAAACCCAGCCCTCCAGGCCCAGTCGGAAACCCATTCCCTCTGATGTGCCAGCTGGTGTTTCCTTCTCTCCCTGGCTCACCCCACTGTGCAGACATGATTTGATTGACTCACATCTCTGGATCCCAGGCAGTGGAACAGTGTGTGCAAAGGCCCAGAGGTGGGAAGGTCCCTGGGGAAGGGGAGAGGAGGTTGGCAAGGCTCCTGAAGCCAGTCCAGGAAGGGCCCTGAGCCCAACTTATCCTGAGGGCCTTGGGGGGCAGTGACTGGTAGGGGGTGACATGGCCTGAGCTGGAGACCCCTGGGGTTTTATGGGAAGAAGCAGAGCTGATGTCCTGGGCTGAGTCCTCCAGCCCCACTTCCAACTCAGGGCCACAACAGCCTCTGACCCTCAGCCCTTCCCCGTGATCAGTCCGAGGCTCTAATGAGCTCTTGGTCTCCAGGGCAGGAGCCAGGAATGTGGGCCCCGAGCCAGGTGGGCCTGGCAGCAGGTCCTAGGGCTTGTGGGCTGTGTGCTGCAGGGGCTTGGCCAGCAGCTTCCTGGTCTCCAGGGTCACCAGAGGCCAATGGCTCAGACTTGCCTGGCCGCCCTGAGGCCGACGGCCCAGCATATTTGCATAGGAGTATGTTCATGTGTATGTGTCTCTGTGTGTGAGTGAGAGGCAGGCTTCAGGGCAGCATCAGGACAGGCCTTCTTCCATCCCAGGGGCTGGAGGAGACCCCCTGGAAAGCCCCTTGGCCTGAGAGCCTGCCCAAACACCCATTAGAGATGGGCAGGGTCTAGGAGAGGAAAAGTCCATTCACTGAGTGTTTGCTCTGTGCTGGGGCCTGGGCCCGTGGAGCCCTCCAGGGTGTCTTCACTCAGGGGGCCTCTGAGGCAGGCCTCTGGCTGATGGGACCTCCTCATCACCCCCGCCCCTCCTGCCCCTCTGAATGCTGACCCACCTCCAGCTATGGGTGGCCTCTGCTGGGAGCAGGTATCTGTAGGTGAATGCCTGTTCTGCCTGCCCTCAAGCAGGAAGTACTTCCTTGGTCCTGAAAACAGTCCTTTCTCTGCCCACCTGGCGCCTCCCGATGAGCCCTGGACATGAGGGACAGCCTTCGTCCTACTATTTCCCACAGATCTTTCAGGACAGGGAAGGAACTGGCAGGAAGAGAGGAGGAGAGTGGCAGACCAGGGAAGCAGATGAAGGAAGAAGCATTTTCATGGAGCCGCACATGGCATTTTAGCCTCACAACAGCAGCTGTGGGAAAAGAGGGTATTGTTTTGTTTGTTTCTGATTTGTCGCCAGGCTGGAATGTTGTGGCGCAATCTCGGCTCACTGCAACCTCTGCCTTCCAGGTTCAAGTGATTCTCTTGCCTCAGCCTCCCAAGTAGCTGGGATTACAGGTGACTGCACCACACCCAGCTAATTTTTGTATTTTTAGTAGAGATGGGGTTTCAACATTTTGGTCAGGGTGATCTGGATTTCCTGACCTTGTGATACACCTGCCTTGGCCTCCCAAAGTGCTGGGATTATAGGCCTGAGACACCACACTGGGCCTGAAAAGAGGTTTTAATCTGCATTTTGCCTATGAAGAAACAGGCTCAGGAAGGAGTAACGGCTCGAGGTCCTCACTCATCAGCAGCAAAGCCCGAGATGGAGCCCACTGGGTTTGGCCTGTGGAACTGCAGAGCCGGTCGGCTTCCCAGGGCTGGGGTAACAGGTGTGAGCCACTGTGCCCGACCTACAGATAACATCTTAAATCTACAGCAATGTAGTTTGAGTTAAGGCCAAATTAGCTTCAATAATAACAAAAAATTATGTTCCTTTATAGCTCCCTCTCTCCCCCTTATGTGTTTGTTGTCACAAATTACATTTTCGTACATTGTGTGCCAGTTAACATAGATTTATCATTATGTTGCGCATTTGGTTTTTTAAAACACAGAAAAAAAGAAAAAAAAGTAGTTATAGACTAAAAATACAATACTGGTTTGTTTTGTTTTTAAGAGATGCAGTCTTACTATGTTGCCCAAGCTGGAGTGCAGTGGCTTTTCACAAGTGCGATCATGGTGTGTTACAGCTTTGAACTCCCAGGCCGAAGCAGCCCTCCTGCCTCAGCCTCCCAAGTGGCTTGGAGTACAGGCACCTATTGCTGTGCCTGGTTAAATAATGGGCTTTTCTATTTATCTGTGTAAGTGCCTTTATCAGTGTTCTTTTTTTTTTTTTTTTTTGTATGGCTTTGCATTACTGTCTAGTGTACTCCAATTCTTTTTGCCAATTTTGTATTGTTTTAAAATACATATAACAACATTTACCACTTAACCATTTTATTTTTTTTGAGACAGAGTCTCCCTCTGTTGCTCAGGCTGGAGAGCAGTGGTGTGATCTCAGCTCTCTGCAACTTCCGTCTCCCAGGTTCAAGTGATTCTCCTGCCTCAGCCTCCTAAGTACCTGGGATTACAGGTCCCTGCCACCAAGCTCAGCTAATTTCTGTATTTTTAGTAGAGACAGGGTTTCACCATATTGGTCAGGCTGGTCTCAAACTCCTGACCTCAGGTGATCCACCTGCCTCAGCCTCCCAAAGTGCTGGGGTTACAGGTATGAGCCACCATCCTGGCCCCATTTAACCACTTTTAAGTGCATAGTTTAGTGGCATAAAATGCATTCATAATGTTGTGTGACCGTCACTACTATCCATTTCTGCAACTGTTTTCATCTTGTAAAATGAACATTCTATCCATTAAGTAATAACTCCCCATTCCCCTTGCCCCGCCTCCTCTGGCAACCACTATTCTGCTTTCTGGTTTTGATTTTGACCACTCTAGGTATCTCACATAAGTGGAATTATACACTATTTGTCTTTTGGCGATGGCTTACTTCACTTAGCATAATATCCTCAAGGTTCATCCATGTTGTATTCATAGAATGTGTCAGAATTTTCTTCCTTTTTAAGGCTGAGTAATATTTTATGTATGTTTGTACCACACATTGTTTACTCATTCATCTATTGAGGAATACTTGAGTGGTTTCCATGTTTTAGCTATTATAATTAATACTGCTTTGAACATAGATGTGCAAAGATCTCCTTGAGATTCTGCTCTTAATTCTTTTGAGTATATATCCAGAAGTAGAATTGCTAGGCCATATGGTAATTCTCATTTTAATTTTTTAGGAGCTGCCATAGTGTTTTCACAACATTTGTATTATTGCACATTCCCACCCACAGTGCGTAAGGGTTCCATCATCTCCACATCTTTGCCAATACTTTCCTATTTTTTTTTGTAATAGCCGTCCTAATGGATGTGCAGTGTCTTTCCTTGTGGTTTTTAATTTGCATTTCCCTAATGATAATTGATGTTAAACATCTTGTCATATGCTTCTTGTCTCTTTGTATATCTTTTTTGGAGAAATGTCTATGTAAGTCCTGTGTCTGTGTTTGCTTGTTTTGGAGACACAGTCTCGCTCTGTCACCCAGGCTGGTGTATAGTGGGGAAATCACAGCTCACTGCAGCCTCAAACTCCTGCCTATGCCCATTTTTGAAGTGTGTTGTTTGTTTTATTGTTGTTCCATGTCTTTTAATTGTTAGGATTTCTTATAGGGCAGGTCAACTCGTGAGAAACTCCCTCAGCTTTTGTTTATGTGGGAAGGTCTTTATTTCTCCATCCTCTGTGAGGGATAGTTATGGCAGATACACACATTTTTCTTGACAGTTTTTTAATTTTTTTAAAACAAATATCTATCGATCAGGCATGATGGTTCATGCCTGTCCCAGCACTTTCGGAGGCCAAGGTGGGCAGAACACCTGAAGTCTGGAGTTTGAGACCAGCCTGACCAACATGGAGAAACCCCATCTCTACTAAAAATTGAACAACAACAAAAAATTAGCTGAGCATGGTGGTACATGCCTGTAATCCCAGCTACTCAGGATTACAGCTACTGAGACAAGAGAATCACTTGAACCCTGGAGGCAGAGGTTGCAGTGAGTGGAGATCACACCATTGCTCTCCAGCCTGGGCAACAAGAGCAAAATGCTGTCTAAAAAAAAAAAAATTTATCACACAGTTTCTGTGGGTAAGCAGTTTGGGTGCAATTTAGCTGGGTGTCTGTGGCTCAAGGTCCCTCCTGTTGCAGTCAGGATGTTGGCTGGGGCTGCAGTCATATCCAAAGTATTGATGGAGGAGGATTTGTCAGAGTCACTCACAGGTTGCTGGAGGTTTCAGTTCCTCCAGGTTGTTGGACTAAAGGCCTCAGTTCTTTTTTTTTTGAAAGGAGAGAAGGAAAAAAAAAAAAAAGGAGTGATGGAGAGGTAGAAATAGGAAGAAAAAGAGGGAGAGAGAACAGGGATGTTGCTTTATTCTAAAAATGGGTATTAATAAGGGCCAATCAATATTTCATTTAAACCTATGAGTAGGTGTGATGTGGTACTGATAAGAATGTATATTTTGTGCATTTAAAGTGGAGAGCTCTATAAATGTTTATTAAGTTTACTTGTTCCGGATCTGAGTTCAAGTCCTGGATATCCTTATTAATTTTCTGTCTCATTGAGTCTAAATCTCTTTATAGTTCTTATGTGTCTGGATGTTAGGATCATTCGCTCTTATTGTTGCATTGATCCTTTTACCACTATATCTTTGTTGCTTTAAAATCTGTTTTATCAGATGCGAGAATTGCAACTCCTGCTTTTCATTTATTTATTTTTGCTCTCCATTTAGTTGGTTAATCTTTCTCCATCCCTTTGTTTTGAGTCTTTGTGTATCTTTGTATGTAAAATGGGTCTGGATGTAGCATACCGTTGGGTTTTGGCTGTGTCTTTTGATTGGGGGATTTAGTCAATTTAAATTTAGGGTAACTGCCATTTGATGTTAACTGGCTGTTGTATCCATTCGTTGATGTAAAT